CACATTGCATTGAAAGGAAACACCAAAAGCGCGGATTTTACTCAATTGTAAATCAGCTCTGCCTTTCCAGGTCACAATACACTGTCTTGTGTTTAGGGTTTTAGGCTTAGGGTTGGAAGTTGCTGAGGTTGGGGTAACTAGTTTATTTCATATGACAATTTCATGATTGAATTTTTTTTAACTAGCTGCATTCTGAGTAGAAAAGCCTGTTCCCTGCCAGCATGCTGCAAGAATGGGACCCTTGCTCTGTGTGGAAGCAGCAATATCTCTACAAAGGCACACACTGCCTTCTGAATCAGAGCCAGAGCTTTTCAATCTGCTGGGAGAATGACCAATGCAATGAGTCCACTGCTTTTCCACAGAGAGCAAGGGTCCCTCTCTGCAGCAGTTTGGCAGGAGACTGGTGTTTCTACTCAGGCTGTGGCTGCTTTAGAAAGAAAATTAACCACAAGACTTTGAACACCATTTGTTTTGATGCACCTGAAATGTATTTAATGGACTTAAACTTAAGGTTCTGCTGGAGTTAAAGCCATTAATTCAGCTGTAAACTGGTCCCATCTTTCTCCTCAATCTACAACAAGCATGACTCCAAAGGCCCATTCTTGTGAGAGCAGAAGACAGCACTAAACTCTAATACAAACCTCTCACACCCACCGCTCCAATCTTTCCCAGATTCCAGCTAGACCTAGGTCCATACTCTGGTTGGAAACAGAAGGATCAGAGGTTTCTTTGCCATCCTTGCATTGTTTGAAAACAAATTGAGTTCAATTTTTATTTTATGTACTATACAGATCCCACAGAAAAGCACAGCTGCCCTGATCACTATAATCAAATCTTTGTTACCGAATCCGTATTACATCCACAAGATCATGACGCAGCCCTAACCCATAAAGGGATTTAAAATCAATATCCCTATATCCATAAGGATGCCTTTGAGAAATGTACAATATTGCATCATACATCAATAATAAATAATACAGGATACAATATTAAACAGATCGGTTTACCTATAGATAATGATCTACAATAAATTCCAGATAGAGTTCAACCTAGAACATATATTGGAGAAGGACTCCACTAACACAATATAAAGATAATTCTGTTAATGATATACCAATTATACACCACAAAGAGAAAATAAATAATAATTAGAAATTAATAAGCATACAATATACATCACCATTGCATCCTCTTCAGGGGTGTAACTATTGATAAGGGGGCCCCATAGCAAAATTAATAAGGGCCCATTGCTCTCTACCATCCATCTTCAAGGCAATCCTTCTAGTGATACAGAATTCTTTTGGTCTTTGTAGCAACCTTATAGAGGTTCCCAAAATTGTAGGTACAATCAGTTTAACCAAATGTATTTACCAAAGGCTATCACAACCTGTACATATTATTATATAGGTAGATAGTGTTGGGCCCCCAGTACTGCATGATTTGCTTTGCTCTTACTCCCTAGATCCTCTTCTTACTACTAGACATACTTCTAATTTTCCCTCTGTGCTCTGAAGGGTATGTGACCCTAAAACCATAGAAAGCAAGGAGCACTAGATAGAATAGGAATTGACTCATATTGTTTGATGGACTAAAATTTGACTTTTCATATATGATAGGTAGTCCATTTAGAACTCCACAATATCATATCTACCAGCTGGCAGAGATTCAAATTAGATCTAATATCACATTTCCTGGTGAAACCCAGCAGCTGCAGGAAAAAGGGGACTCATCAGTATATTTAATTTACTACATGCAGAGGCCAGGAGCAAAAAGCAGTCTTTTATTTTACACATAAAAATCCTTTGTAATCACCTCCACTGAATATGGAAAATATTTACCGCATATATTAACCTTATATCCATTGTACAGCCAATCCACAGGGCAGGTTCCATGTTTCTGCTTGTCATCCTCCTTGGGGATTATATCTTTTTCTATTTTGAGCATTAAACTTGTTTTACAGATTCCCGGATTCATAGCAAAACAGTCTGTAAACCCCCAGAGCCCTGGAAGAGACAGCTTTCTGGAGTTACTGATACAACACAATGCATTATCTGTATTTCTAGCTGTGGCTTCCCCACAAACCACCTACGCAACGCCTCCAGCGACTGCTGGGAGACTTAAGTAGTTATTATTACTAAGATAGTTTATTATGCATTTCACAATTACGATTATTTATCTTACTGAACACAAGAAATGATCTTGTATGTCTAAACAAGTAATGGTAGAATACCGATGATGTCACGTTTTTTGCATTTCAAGAAAATATTGCTCCATCTTATTTACAAATTGCTTAATAACATATTTATAGGAAATATGTGTACATGGGAATTTATATTTTAGGGAACATATTTATAAAATTGGGGAAATGACTGTGAGGAATTATTAATTTGAGCAGATCAGAGACCATTTGAAAGATTCTCTGCTTGTATAATGTTCATTTGACAGCTGGATTCACATGCCCACCAGCCAGATGGAATGAGTATTAGTTTTCGGTATCCAAAACCCAGTTCAGGAGATTTAAGAAAAACGAGAATAATCATAAAAAAACATAGAATTCACTATAACCACTCAAAACTTTCGTTTTGCCTTTCTTGCTTATTTTCACCCTTAATGTGACTCTATCTCTGAGAAGAAGAAAAAAAAACCAGCCACTCAACTTTGTTGTCTTTCAGAGCTGCACTGGTCAAATAACTGATTCATTTTCAGTCTCATTTCACATAAAAAATACACACCTCCTAAACCCCGTCTGTGTGAACACTTTGGTAACTTGCTGACTCAACAAGATCCACAGACAGTGTCAACTGACAAAGAAGATTCAGAAGTAAAACCCAATGTAGTTTATCCCATGCTGAGATTACTATAAATGTATTTTCTGGGAATTTCTTGTAGGTAAAAATACGTTCTGCACTTAAAACCTCCTGACTCACTTAAGCCTCTTATACAGCAAGGGTAAAACTAAAACAAACTGAAGAGCATGGGTTGGATGGAACTAAACGAACTATAAACAGGTATCCCATTGGACACCAGACCGGTATCCCACTGTAGTATGTAGCAGGGTGCTGGAATGATGTGCGGTTGGTGCCGAACAAATTCAAACGTAGAGGACATAGTGACCCGCACACCAAGGTCCAATGCATCAATACGTCTTTTATTGATGGCTGATACACATGGCATCACGATTATGAGCAATATTTTGGAACCCATCAAGGTCCCTTCATCAGGCAAATAACATATTGATCTTCACTATGTTATTTGCCTGATGAAGGGACCTTGATAGGTTCTGAAACGTTGCTCATACTTGTGATGCCATGTGTATCTGCCGTCAATAAAAGGACTTATTGATGCATTGAACCTTGGTGTGCGGATGACTATCTCCTAACTAAACTAACACAAAATCAGGGGGTTTAAGTACAGCATATCAAAACACAATAAATTACAAATAATAAAACAGACCGCTGTGATAGGACACTGAAGATTCTTCAGCCAGTGTAACTCTGCCAGAGAACAAAGATAGGATGCATGGGCAGCAAGACTGGTAAGTTCTATTACTCTTCCTTTAAAGGCAAGATTTACCAAAACTATGTAATGTAAATGCAGGTTTACTAATATAAAAACAGGTTTACTACTATAAAGTGGCAAATGTGAGAAAATGCATCTGTTAGTCTAGATCACATTTGCACACCTTCGTTTGGCTTCAGCTTATAAATATGCTCCCTAAGATAAGAACTCAATTGAAAAATTTCCAATGATAACCTTTGGAAGCCTGTAGAGTTCTTTTTCATAAGCCCACATTGGCTGCCTAGACGTGCCCAGGACTTTTGACTCCTTACAGAGAGCTGAAGTGGGGGGTGGTTCTTGTAAGGCATAAGATCAACTGCCTCAATTGCCTAACCCCTTATGCAGTCCTCAACATGTGACAGACATGTAAATATTTTGAGTATTTTAGAAATGATAGGCAAAAGGGTGAACAAAAAAAATCACTTGACACAGAGGCATAAATATAGCTGTCCCCTATTTTACACATTAGTCTTCATATGAGTGTTCTGTGAATATGATGATGCAGGAATAAGCTGTCTTGTGGCACCAACCTGTGTCTGCCATGATATAGGCACATTGCTGTCCTGTTATGGATAAATTGTTGCTTTCTGGCTCCTTTTCCCAGTTACTGTAGATAACAGGTGACCCGACCTTCCATCTGCCAGCATATCAAACACAGCTATTTAAGATAACCTGTCATACATCATCACATAGAACAACACATATTAATAATACAGTAAGGCTGGTGAGTGTCCTGCTGATATATGGAAAAGAACTTCCCTGCTATATCCATAATAGTCTATTTATTTTCATCTTATGAGGTTCTACCAACCTGCAAGTGCAGTTTGAGTGTTCTGCCACAACGAGCGGCATTTTTATGTTATTAGTCTGTTTCATGTATAGTATTATTAGAACCCCTCTCAAGGTGTATATAAGGAGAGGCAAATAATTGGATAACCTCTTGGCCAAATGGAGTGTTGATCCCATTTGATCTTTCTAATAAAAGATTGTTCTATAAACATGAAAATTCCATTGTACCTAACTTCATTTTACTTGACATAATTTCTCTGTATCTTAGTAAACCACCCCACTAATTCCTTTTCTGTATTAGGGAGAGATAAGATTCAGACTTGTCATACAGAGATTTTTTCTATACTGATTTTTTTGTTGTTGTACACAATAACCTGGGTTAGAAATCACAAGGCTTAACCCTTATTCAGTCATCGCACTAGGCCAGCCATTCTCAACCAGGGCTCAATGAAACCCTAGGGTTCCTCCAGAGATTGCTAGGGGTTCCTTGAGTTGTTGCTGATTTTTGACCTCCTATTTGATGGTACCTGCATATTTAAGGGGTCAACTCCACTTCACAGAGCCAGTTGCAGGAACCCAATGAGCTGTCTGTAAGGGTTGCATTCTGACCATCACTGTAAGGGGGCATTTTCCCACTAACCAAGAATGCAAGAGGCATTTTTCACTGACCGCTGATTAAGTGAGTATAGCAAGTGTTCTCAGAGACCTGTAAAATATTTCAAGGGTTCCTCTGGGGTAATAGTTTGAGAAAGGGTGCACTAGGCAACCGAATTGGCATTATTGTGAGCTATTATCTAGCTAGGAACAAAGTTGTCCTGATGTGTTTAAACTTAATAAATGCCAATACCTTCGGAAGCCATCACGGGGGTTTTCATATGCAAGGCCAATCCACCATTTTTCATTCTTTTTTGACATCTAAAAAAATAGTAAGTATAGTTTTAGATGACATAAATGTTTAGAATAATATTTAGAAATCTACACGGATATCTACAAACCAGATAAAGATATCCCCATCCAACAGCAAAACAACAAAATGACATGACAACCATTTCTGTACTGCCAAGATCTAGAAATGTAATGGCTCAATCAAACCAGTGATATGATGCATTCTACAGATTTAGTTCACAGCTTTGCATTTTCTCAGTAGCTAGATGGATTTTGCTGCACAGGGGCCATCTCAGTGAATGAACTTAGCTATAGGGAACACATAGTGAGGTTACATAACAGAATGGACTGTAACGTGCACAAGGTAGCACTACTGTGCATTTTCTGACCGATGACCATGACGTGTTCATGCCTCCATTTATTTCTAGGATTGATTGCAGGCTGTAAAGCCTTTATAACTGCTGCCTTTATAAGTTAAAGAGAACCAGTCATGATTGGGCTTCAAGTGAAGCAAAACAATAGGTTTACTTAAATACCAACTCTGTGTGCCTGTTTACCTTCCCTTTGCTCCTCTTCTTCTCCGTTTGCCCACAAAGAGAAGAAATTCCTGTTTAAGCTCCAAGTTGCTCTGGTCAGAAATTACACATGGACATGGACACTTTCTCTGCCTCCAAGTGACAATACTGGAGCCTGATATTTGCTGTTCCAGCATCCAATGATGCATCATGGCAGAAAAGGGAGTTGAGTTTCTCATATCTTGAAGTATTTATCTTCAGGTTCACGTGCACAGATTTATTTATAGAAGATATCTATTTGCCCGATTATTTTGCTTCAGTTTAAGTCTGACTCTTAAGCTTGAGAGTCAGTAGAGGTCATCTGAAGCCTGACAACTCCTCCCCTGTCAATTGCCTGACGTCAAATGAGTGTACAACAGTGCCAGTGAACACATACTCTTAGTTAAAGCTGAACTCCAGAATATGTAAATAATGTCTAAATACAAGAGTCATGAGCATTCTTAACTTAATCTGAATTCTTAACTGAGTTTAGGAAATGTAACCAACTACAGGGCTGTGTTAGTTGACCCATGCTGTTGGCTCATTACAGAATTTGTCACAAGTTGACTGTAGACCATTTTGCCCTAACGCACATAAGTTCTTTTTGACACCAACTGTCTAAATCTGTATTTACATGGATACTTAATTCTTTAGGAGACTATGCAAAATATTATACTTTTCCGTCATACTACTTAAAGCCCACCTGCAGCTAAACCTTTTAATTTAATTTTTTAGCACCATCTATATCCCTATTGGGGAGCTGTCACCTCACTTCCTGTCCTAGAGAAACACATATAATAACAAAAACATGCTTTCAGTAGTGTTGAAAAGGGTTTAAAATTCTGCCAGTGTTAGTATTGCTTATCATGCCTTGCTGACAGCTGGTCCCCCCCCCTTATTGATAAGGGGGCCCCATAGCAAAATTAATAAGGGCCCATTGCTCTCTACCATCCATCTTCAAGGCAATCCTTCTAGTGATACAGAATTCTTTTGGTCTTTGTAGCAACCTTATAGAGGTTCCCAAAATTGTAGGTACAATCAGTTTAACCAAATGTATTTACCAAAGGCTATCACAACCTGTACATATTATTATATAGGTAGATAGTGTTGGGCCCCCAGTACTGCATGATTTGCTTTGCTCTTACTCCCTAGATCCTCTTCTTACTACTAGACATACTTCTAATTTTCCCTCTGTGCTCTGAAGGGTATGTGACCCTAAAACCATAGAAAGCAAGGAGCACTAGATAGAATAGGAATTGACTCATATTGTTTGATGGACTAAAATTTGACTTTTCATATATGATAGGTAGTCCATTTAGAACTCCACAATATCATATCTACCAGCTGGCAGAGATTCAAATTAGATCTAATATCACATTTCCTGGTGAAACCCAGCAGCTGCAGGAAAAAGGGGACTCATCAGTATATTTAATTTACTACATGCAGAGGCCAGGAGCAAAAAGCAGTCTTTTATTTTACACATAAAAATCCTTTGTAATCACCTCCACTGAATATGGAAAATATTTACCGCATATATTAACCTTATATCCATTGTACAGCCAATCCACAGGGCAGGTTCCATGTTTCTGCTTGTCATCCTCCTTGGGGATTATATCTTTTTCTATTTTGAGCATTAAACTTGTTTTACAGATTCCCGGATTCATAGCAAAACAGTCTGTAAACCCCCAGAGCCCTGGAAGAGACAGCTTTCTGGAGTTACTGATACAACACAATGCATTATCTGTATTTCTAGCTGTGGCTTCCCCACAAACCACCTACGCAACGCCTCCAGCGACTGCTGGGAGACTTAAGTAGTTATTATTACTAAGATAGTTTATTATGCATTTCACAATTACGATTATTTATCTTACTGAACACAAGAAATGATCTTGTATGTCTAAACAAGTAATGGTAGAATACCGATGATGTCACGTTTTTTGCATTTCAAGAAAATATTGCTCCATCTTATTTACAAATTGCTTAATAACATATTTATAGGAAATATGTGTACATGGGAATTTATATTTTAGGGAACATATTTATAAAATTGGGGAAATGACTGTGAGGAATTATTAATTTGAGCAGATCAGAGACCATTTGAAAGATTCTCTGCTTGTATAATGTTCATTTGACAGCTGGATTCACATGCCCACCAGCCAGATGGAATGAGTATTAGTTTTCGGTATCCAAAACCCAGTTCAGGAGATTTAAGAAAAACGAGAATAATCATAAAAAAACATAGAATTCACTATAACCACTCAAAACTTTCGTTTTGCCTTTCTTGCTTATTTTCACCCTTAATGTGACTCTATCTCTGAGAAGAAGAAAAAAAAACCAGCCACTCAACTTTGTTGTCTTTCAGAGCTGCACTGGTCAAATAACTGATTCATTTTCAGTCTCATTTCACATAAAAAATACACACCTCCTAAACCCCGTCTGTGTGAACACTTTGGTAACTTGCTGACTCAACAAGATCCACAGACAGTGTCAACTGACAAAGAAGATTCAGAAGTAAAACCCAATGTAGTTTATCCCATGCTGAGATTACTATAAATGTATTTTCTGGGAATTTCTTGTAGGTAAAAATACGTTCTGCACTTAAAACCTCCTGACTCACTTAAGCCTCTTATACAGCAAGGGTAAAACTAAAACAAACTGAAGAGCATGGGTTGGATGGAACTAAACGAACTATAAACAGGTATCCCATTGGACACCAGACCGGTATCCCACTGTAGTATGTAGCAGGGTGCTGGAATGATGTGCGGTTGGTGCCGAACAAATTCAAACGTAGAGGACATAGTGACCCGCACACCAAGGTCCAATGCATCAATACGTCTTTTATTGATGGCTGATACACATGGCATCACGATTATGAGCAATATTTTGGAACCCATCAAGGTCCCTTCATCAGGCAAATAACATATTGATCTTCACTATGTTATTTGCCTGATGAAGGGACCTTGATAGGTTCTGAAACGTTGCTCATACTTGTGATGCCATGTGTATCTGCCGTCAATAAAAGGACTTATTGATGCATTGAACCTTGGTGTGCGGATGACTATCTCCTAACTAAACTAACACAAAATCAGGGGGTTTAAGTACAGCATATCAAAACACAATAAATTACAAATAATAAAACAGACCGCTGTGATAGGACACTGAAGATTCTTCAGCCAGTGTAACTCTGCCAGAGAACAAAGATAGGATGCATGGGCAGCAAGACTGGTAAGTTCTATTACTCTTCCTTTAAAGGCAAGATTTACCAAAACTATGTAATGTAAATGCAGGTTTACTAATATAAAAACAGGTTTACTACTATAAAGTGGCAAATGTGAGAAAATGCATCTGTTAGTCTAGATCACATTTGCACACCTTCGTTTGGCTTCAGCTTATAAATATGCTCCCTAAGATAAGAACTCAATTGAAAAATTTCCAATGATAACCTTTGGAAGCCTGTAGAGTTCTTTTTCATAAGCCCACATTGGCTGCCTAGACGTGCCCAGGACTTTTGACTCCTTACAGAGAGCTGAAGTGGGGGGTGGTTCTTGTAAGGCATAAGATCAACTGCCTCAATTGCCTAACCCCTTATGCAGTCCTCAACATGTGACAGACATGTAAATATTTTGAGTATTTTAGAAATGATAGGCAAAAGGGTGAACAAAAAAAATCACTTGACACAGAGGCATAAATATAGCTGTCCCCTATTTTACACATTAGTCTTCATATGAGTGTTCTGTGAATATGATGATGCAGGAATAAGCTGTCTTGTGGCACCAACCTGTGTCTGCCATGATATAGGCACATTGCTGTCCTGTTATGGATAAATTGTTGCTTTCTGGCTCCTTTTCCCAGTTACTGTAGATAACAGGTGACCCGACCTTCCATCTGCCAGCATATCAAACACAGCTATTTAAGATAACCTGTCATACATCATCACATAGAACAACACATATTAATAATACAGTAAGGCTGGTGAGTGTCCTGCTGATATATGGAAAAGAACTTCCCTGCTATATCCATAATAGTCTATTTATTTTCATCTTATGAGGTTCTACCAACCTGCAAGTGCAGTTTGAGTGTTCTGCCACAACGAGCGGCATTTTTATGTTATTAGTCTGTTTCATGTATAGTATTATTAGAACCCCTCTCAAGGTGTATATAAGGAGAGGCAAATAATTGGATAACCTCTTGGCCAAATGGAGTGTTGATCCCATTTGATCTTTCTAATAAAAGATTGTTCTATAAACATGAAAATTCCATTGTACCTAACTTCATTTTACTTGACATAATTTCTCTGTATCTTAGTAAACCACCCCACTAATTCCTTTTCTGTATTAGGGAGAGATAAGATTCAGACTTGTCATACAGAGATTTTTTCTATACTGATTTTTTTGTTGTTGTACACAATAACCTGGGTTAGAAATCACAAGGCTTAACCCTTATTCAGTCATCGCACTAGGCCAGCCATTCTCAACCAGGGCTCAATGAAACCCTAGGGTTCCTCCAGAGATTGCTAGGGGTTCCTTGAGTTGTTGCTGATTTTTGACCTCCTATTTGATGGTACCTGCATATTTAAGGGGTCAACTCCACTTCACAGAGCCAGTTGCAGGAACCCAATGAGCTGTCTGTAAGGGTTGCATTCTGACCATCACTGTAAGGGGGCATTTTCCCACTAACCAAGAATGCAAGAGGCATTTTTCACTGACCGCTGATTAAGTGAGTATAGCAAGTGTTCTCAGAGACCTGTAAAATATTTCAAGGGTTCCTCTGGGGTAATAGTTTGAGAAAGGGTGCACTAGGCAACCGAATTGGCATTATTGTGAGCTATTATCTAGCTAGGAACAAAGTTGTCCTGATGTGTTTAAACTTAATAAATGCCAATACCTTCGGAAGCCATCACGGGGGTTTTCATATGCAAGGCCAATCCACCATTTTTCATTCTTTTTTGACATCTAAAAAAATAGTAAGTATAGTTTTAGATGACATAAATGTTTAGAATAATATTTAGAAATCTACACGGATATCTACAAACCAGATAAAGATATCCCCATCCAACAGCAAAACAACAAAATGACATGACAACCATTTCTGTACTGCCAAGATCTAGAAATGTAATGGCTCAATCAAACCAGTGATATGATGCATTCTACAGATTTAGTTCACAGCTTTGCATTTTCTCAGTAGCTAGATGGATTTTGCTGCACAGGGGCCATCTCAGTGAATGAACTTAGCTATAGGGAACACATAGTGAGGTTACATAACAGAATGGACTGTAACGTGCACAAGGTAGCACTACTGTGCATTTTCTGACCGATGACCATGACGTGTTCATGCCTCCATTTATTTCTAGGATTGATTGCAGGCTGTAAAGCCTTTATAACTGCTGCCTTTATAAGTTAAAGAGAACCAGTCATGATTGGGCTTCAAGTGAAGCAAAACAATAGGTTTACTTAAATACCAACTCTGTGTGCCTGTTTACCTTCCCTTTGCTCCTCTTCTTCTCCGTTTGCCCACAAAGAGAAGAAATTCCTGTTTAAGCTCCAAGTTGCTCTGGTCAGAAATTACACATGGACATGGACACTTTCTCTGCCTCCAAGTGACAATACTGGAGCCTGATATTTGCTGTTCCAGCATCCAATGATGCATCATGGCAGAAAAGGGAGTTGAGTTTCTCATATCTTGAAGTATTTATCTTCAGGTTCACGTGCACAGATTTATTTATAGAAGATATCTATTTGCCCGATTATTTTGCTTCAGTTTAAGTCTGACTCTTAAGCTTGAGAGTCAGTAGAGGTCATCTGAAGCCTGACAACTCCTCCCCTGTCAATTGCCTGACGTCAAATGAGTGTACAACAGTGCCAGTGAACACATACTCTTAGTTAAAGCTGAACTCCAGAATATGTAAATAATGTCTAAATACAAGAGTCATGAGCATTCTTAACTTAATCTGAATTCTTAACTGAGTTTAGGAAATGTAACCAACTACAGGGCTGTGTTAGTTGACCCATGCTGTTGGCTCATTACAGAATTTGTCACAAGTTGACTGTAGACCATTTTGCCCTAACGCACATAAGTTCTTTTTGACACCAACTGTCTAAATCTGTATTTACATGGATACTTAATTCTTTAGGAGACTATGCAAAATATTATACTTTTCCGTCATACTACTTAAAGCCCACCTGCAGCTAAACCTTTTAATTTAATTTTTTAGCACCATCTATATCCCTATTGGGGAGCTGTCACCTCACTTCCTGTCCTAGAGAAACACATATAATAACAAAAACATGCTTTCAGTAGTGTTGAAAAGGGTTTAAAATTCTGCCAGTGTTAGTATT